TGTGTTTTTTGGTGAAGTGTTGCTTAAGATTGACATGTGGGCACCATTTGTCGAGAATGATCAGCGTGGTCACTGCAATGAAGTCCATGATGACCTGGCCGATAATCTTGGTGTTGCTCTTAGAAGGATGAATCGGTAAACTCCAGGTTGATCTCTAAATCAAGCAACATCCTGATCGGACGAATCGTTGTGGCGGACATCTTGTGTTGAAAACTATAATAAATATCTGAAAAATTTTGTGGGACCACAACTCTTCAATCGCGTCTATGGTTTAGGGTCGCACCTATTGTCAAATGATCATAGCACTTATAGCATTCGATTCATTTCCACGCATTCATCGTCTCAGAGGTTATCCAACATTTTTCGCGCAGTTTCCATTGTTGGTCGAAACGTTCATGCTGTTTATGAATGTTGTGAAGTGCCGGTCAGCTCAATCATCCTGTATTTTCAATATAGAAGAGCTAAGATGTTTATATGTAATTGTAAAGAAGCGACGAAGGCCGCGAACGAAACAGTTCCTTGTTCTCTGATAGGCTGCATCACCAACTTCTGCTGTCTACTTCCTTTATCATGCATAGTCAGATAGTAAATATGATGTTTTGATACATAATCTGAAAAGCTGAGTATTCTTTTGAGATTATCTTCTTGAAATTTGAGATTTGGAGCACGAGAAGAGTTCCTGAATGGTACAAGCGCGGTAATGCTCTCTTAGAATTATAATAGTTAGTGTCTTTTCGATAATTTTTTCTTGTTCGACGGTGCATTATAACACAATGGCATTTTTAGTGATTGGGGCATTCGTGTGCATCATTCCACAAATTATGTGGCTTAAGGGAATGGTCAATCGTTCGGCAATCTTCGTTTTTGATAGCAACAGAATTTCCGTATGAACCTACGTGTTGCACAATCCATTCAAACATCGCTTTTTCTTTGTAGAAGTTCTGGAAGAAATGATGTCGTCACGGCGATGCACAAGTGATTCGTTGAACTGCAGTTATCGCACAATACAACACTGAGCTATTGATCTATGAGAAGTCATCAAATTTCTGTGTATTTTATATGCATTCGCTTTATCTCCTCCGTTCTTTTACTATTTAAAAAAATTTTTCCATCCCATTATCCATAAAACAGAGCTCGAATTCTCACACTCCCCTTACATATTATTGAAAGCTTCAATGTTTAGATGTATACATTAATATCAGAGATAAATTTTTAAAAGAGTGTCGTTCGTGCAGCTCACTTCTGAAACCTAAACTAGACGTGAAAATATCATATTATTCGAATTAGAGGAGCACCGTTTCGGTGCAAAGAAAAAATACGGGCAGCGTGAATGGTTGGTAAAACCCGAGTTGTTTTGTCTTTCACAAGGATTAAAACTATCTCATCTTGATCCACAAGAATGGCGAGATACGAGCAAATCTTGAAACTTGAGGTGGCATCGAGCAAGCACCTACTCTTCCTGGAGACTCGCTAAATTTTCCACAACACCATCGAGGCCCACTCTGCTTATTTCATGGTCTCATTAGAATATCGATTTACCTCACTCATGACCACAAGAATGCCGAGATACAAACAGAAGTTCGAACCGAATGTTTTTGTGCTATGGACTCTAACCGCCTTTACACCTTTCTAAGGAGGCAATTATATCTTACTACTATGTCACTAAGAGCGCATGTGGGTGCAGAGGTTAGAGGTGCTCTGCGTCGCACACGAGGTCAATGGTTCGATCTCGAGCTCATGGCTCACCAAGCCATCCATCCCTCCGGGGTCGGTAAATTAATACCAGACAGGTCTCAGACTTATCTGGGAGAATAAGCAGCACTGACTCGGTTCAGCAGGAGGCCTCCGCGAGTCATTGTAAAGGCCACGTATGCATTCATTCACCTCAATAGAAGATAAAAAGTGAAGTCGAATGCTTGGCGCATCCCTCAGGGATTGATCAACGCCGAGAGCTTTATCCTTTAGCTTTATCCTTTACTATGTCACTATTACCATGTCAGTTATATTTCCAATACCGTAAAAGTGTGTTTTCAGAGTGCAGTTTCAAATGTAACAAATGAGACTTTTGTTTCCAATAATAATATAATTTGAAAAGTGCTAAAAACACAGTTTATTTCGAGAAGTTGTAGCAAAGGCAACTTGAAATCTGAGTTTATTTCCCAACCCGCGAGTACCTTCCTGGGGATTAGGTGTTACGTGTTCGAGACGTTTTTACAACTACATTATATGTACTTTCGGCAATAACTTTAGCGTTATTGTGTTCTTTGTCGAGTTGTGCTTCCCAAATCATCAATGCTTACTTGTGATTGCTGATATATTATCAGAATTAAAACATGGGTAATCGCAGGAGCGGAACATAGCTGATGCTACGAGTTTTGCTAGTTTCATAGCCTCCCAGTGATTGCATTCACATCGACATTTTTATGGAAAAATGGGATGCTAATAAAGGGTAAAGCACTAAGTTCTTTTTAAAATGAAGAATTTTACTTTTTAACAAAATTGCATTTCAAAAAATTCAAATTTAATATTAAGAATTCAGAAATATAATATGATAAATTTTAGTATATCATATAAATGCGTAGTACTTTCAAATGGCCAATATAGATCTAAAGTGCACAATTAGAAATGGCGATATATGCTTGTCTAAGAACTGTTATTGAAAAATACAATGAGCATACTTCCGTGAATGTATCTTCTCAAAAATGTCGATTTCAGACAGCGATTATGCCGGTTCTTAATACAGTGGAATTTGTTGTTTCTTAGAGCATTACTTACTGATTTGTGGTGACAATAACAGAAGGAAAAAAGAGGATTCCAATGCCTTGCAAAGATACAAAAAATTTATAATTTATACAGTAATCATCGTTGAATTGTTCATGATAAATACGAAGGGAAAAAAAGCATAAAATTGATCCATATTTGCTATTTTTCTTTCAAGATGGTAGGGATGGCTATAAAGCCTAAATCGATCACATTTTCGCTTTTGTTTCATTTGCGGTGTGTATATTGTCGAAATATTGGATATGGTGACATTTATGCTTGTTGCTCCGCCATACTAAGAATATTTTCAAACGAAATTCATTCGAATGCTAGTAAAATTTTGGCACGCATGACTACATTTTCATAACGTCTGTGACCAAAAAAGAATGTTTAAATGAGTTAAATAAAAAGTACCGTTTGCAAAAACATTCGTCAAATTAACTTATTTCACGTGAAAGTGTTAGACTGTTTTACATTAGATAAAAACGAGATTTGACTTCCAATTCAATCAGAAATATGAATGGACAAATGGAATTTGGAAAAAATCACTGCCATTTTGTGGGCAACTTTAGTATTATGCATATTTTGTTAAATGACTGCCATTACATAGTTGTAACCTTATTATCAGTCTTACTGTCAATGTAATAATCAATCTACCAATTAGTGATTACAATTTCTGTCTTGGCATGTGTGGGGCAGCATTCAAAGGTATTCTGAGATCAACGGGTGGTCTATGATTTGATAACGTTTTCAAGGTCCATCGAGCCTTCCATTCCTCCAAGAACAGCAAATTAGTTCCAGACATTCCTAAAAGGACAGCGCCACTGACGTGTTACATTGTTAAGCCAGCAAAAATCATTTTAAAGACCAGATACTTATTCAATCACATATACGATGATTAATGTCGAGTGCATGAAGCATCCTTTCAGGACTGATGAACACTGAGAGCTTCCAGAACGTTATTGATTCCATTATTATTCCATTATTATGTTGTGAAAACACGACAACATAATTTTGTGGGCGATTTCCGGAGAAAGAGGTTAATAACTTAGTGATCGGTCGCCATTATCCTATGCCCTTCGAGTGACCAGACCGCTTACAATCGTTTAAGGCGCGGAAAATTCTAGGGTGAAATAACAACAATTAGCTATCTCTATCACGGCAGCATGCACTGATTTAATCAAATTATTCTGAGCAGTTTTCCGCTTGCTTCACAATCCTCAGCACTCTAATGAATAGCAGCATTCCCTTTTGCTGTATTTTCTATCCTCACAAAAAGACGGATTCAAAATGTGTTGCGCTCTTCAATACTCTTTGGTTAGAAGCAATTCCGGGAACTTTATTATCCGTCACGCAGGTTTTTTCCACTCTATGGATCCCATTACTGCTAGCATTCATTACGCTTTTCCGTTTTCATTTTGAACTCCATAGAATATTGGTTAAGCACGTCTCTTTTCGATCATACCTTATAGTATGGGTGTGGCATTCCACAGACCATTCGTTGTTGACTTCCGCAGAGTACTGGGAGTGAGCATCGCTCCACGCTGTCCACGACGAGCATCATAACCACTAGGTCACGGCGTCCTCTAACAACGAGCTTTGTGCAACGGAAAATGCATTGATGTAGGGCATCATATAAACTATGTACAATCAAGTACATAACAAATCATGTATAATTAAGTATATTTTAGGTATAATAGTGTGTACTAAGTGCTTCAAGTAACTGTTAAAAAAGGAATGTCGTGGCTGTATGTTCGTGATCATCAGGGCCCGCGCGGGTCGCTTCCCACTCCAACACTCTCCGGCAGTCAATAACGAACGCCTTGTGAAACACAGTCAGGATATCTTCGAAATTGCAAATACACGTTCTCAAGCAGTATTTTATGATGTTCAAGAAGAGAACGAAAAAGCAAGCTGAATGTTAGAAGTACTGGGACCTGCATAAAGAAAAAAGCACACTATGAAGACGGGTCAAATAAAATAACTAAAAAGAAAAAAAAAAGGAAAAAAGAATTGAGTGGTGTTTTTGTTCACCACTCAATCTCTTAGTCATATAAGTAACATAATAACACTGCGAAAAAAGCAGTGAAAATACTATAATTTCGAAGTATTAGTAATTAGAATAGCTATCAGCTCAACTGGGTTTACAAAGCGAAATCGCATATCCGACCAAACCTGTCAAAGGTTGGTGGCTGATAGCTAACATTGAGATGTTGAAGAATGAGTGGTCGGGCAAATGTGCCTCACTGGTGTAGTGGTAGAGCACGCCTTACGTCCCCGGATAGGATGAAACGTGGGTTCGATTCCCGCCTGAGGCCGTGTTTTTGTTCACCACTCAATCTCTCAGTCATATAAGTAACATAATAAGACTGCGAAAAAAGCAGTAAAAAAAAAACTATAATTTCGAAGTACTAAAAAGGAAATCTGCTGAAACCTGTGTTGGGGGTGTCTGATCGGACAGCAATATAATTTGCGTCGTGAAATTTCAGAAGTAGATCTTGCAAGACAATATGGATCTTACGAGCAAGGAGAATATGACTCATCCAAATTTGAGTATTTCCTTCGTAAAATTTCTCATAAAACATGAAGCAGAAAAGTGATTTCTGTTTTACGATATCACTAAACTATAGGGATCGTGAGCAGAGTGTATTATCTCAAGATTAACAATAGTAACCCAAGAAAATGATTCACATAGAAAGTGATTTTTTTTCGAATCATATGTCCCAGGTTTCAGAAAAGTGGAAATAGCTAAAAGTGGAATGAAGTTAGTTTTTCAATTACCAACACCTATTTACTTCAAATTCGGACTGTAATAAGTAGTTGCAGAGTGGACTGTACCTCATGATTTGTGTTCCAGTTAAAACAAGATGGTTTCGTAGGCACCGCGATCTCGTAGGGTTTGCTTCATCTCATCGCAAGTCTTTCGCTATCACAGTCATCTTTCATATAATATCGATGCTTCAACACTCAGAATATCCAGTTTGATGAACACAGTGGCAATCATGTGCTGATGATGTTGTTCATTCAAAATGTTCCACTCTGTCTGTGTGGGTTCTGGTTCAAGCAATAACCATATTTCTGTAGACACCACACTCATACAAACAAATTAACAACATTTTTATACACATGGATAATTTTTGTTATTCCTTGATCCTATAGTTATAATCAGTATGCTTGCATTAGTTGTGCAAAAATTTCGTCACTGCACCATATTTGCTCTTGTGAAAAATTTACTACAATAATTCTCTGCAGATTTGTCATGCAAATTGAATGCTTGAGATATGTGACCAGATTACCCGGCAGACATTCAAGCAGTACTTTTTGAACAAGGTATTTGAACCATATTCCTCTTCAACTTGAGGACAAAATAGAAGTTTAAGATTGCGGATTTCTTAAAGAACATTAATCGCATGAGTTCAAACCACGGATCTTCCTATTTGTAAGATCCCACCCGATTAGTCGCGAGGGCACGTGGCGCGCCACCAGGTGGTGGATAGGGGAATAAGCGCGAACCAAAAGCGACCGTGTGTTTTCCAGAGACGCTGGTGGATTCAGGGGGTGAGCTCCTAGCTTCCAGCGCCGACTTGACAAAACTCTATTTCTACGAGTCAAGTCGGACAAAAGCCTGCAATTAAGCGGCCGGGAAGTACATAGGAGGCGGTTAGGAGTAGCTTCCAACAAATAAGCTCCTCCCGCTCCTTCGAGATAGACTGGCAAGCTACTCGTGAGTACCCAGCCCTTAGGTTTAGAGCCTGGCAAGCTATACATGGGATATCAAATTCCTAAAAACACCAAGAAATATGGGCCTCACTCCCCTGACCCCGAAAAGAACCCTGGTGCGGCAGAGCCAGGTAGGACGAGTATGAAGATGCTGCTAGAATCTCAGGGCCAAACTAGGCTGTCAAGATCAAAACGGACTAAAATGACCATCTGTACCCAAAATGCAAAACCTTTTTTCACGAATCCACTGTGGAAGATCTATTGACTCAAGCAAGAAGGTTAAGGTACGATAGCATTGGCCTGGACGAGAAGAGACGAGAAGACTCCAACATTTTCACGTTGTTTACGACACCGAAGAAGAACGTTCCTTGGAACATGCGACAGCAGAGGTGTCGGTGGCGTTGTGTCCTCGTCAAATCGAATTTGACCGTGAATATCGCTTCATTCGAACAATCAAGAACCCGTATCGGACGATTACGGTTAAAGCGATGTGGTTCGATGCCGGCTTTGACCATCTTCGTTGCTTCATCAAGCTATGACGAAGACGAAATAAAACGTTCTATATGGACCTCGAAAAATTCTTCAGAGAAGATCATACATTCTTCAAGGTCATTGTCGGAGATTTTGACGCAAAAATTGGACCCAAAAGAACTTCTGAAGAGCGTCACATTGGGACCCGCGGACTAGAATGGAATGAACAGGCTGAGAGGTTATCTGAGTTTACTATGACAACCTAAACCGTCCATGCTAACTCACAACTCCAAAAGCCTAACTCTCAACGATGAACGTGGGAGTCTCCCAATGGAGAGTACCATAACGAAATAGACCACATCTTAGCAAATCAAAGGTTTTGCGTGACCAATGTCGCTGTTGCTCCTAAGTTCTACGCGGGACTAGACCAACGCCTCCTTCGCAGAAGATTCTGTTTTTCGTGGAAAGGAGAGAAAGCAGCTAAATTCAAACAACGAAGTCCCAGAACTACCATAAACTGGGATATAATCAAATCATTAGTCGGCTCTTGGGAAGATATCGCTGTCGACGACATCGACGAAGAATACAATCGGCTCGTTAAATATCTTCACGTTAGCACTGTTAAAACCGAAAATTCTAAAGTCATGAAGAGACGCCTGTCTCCTCAGACACTGGAGCTGATATGTCAAAATGGAATCGCACGAGCTACAGGCAACCGAAACCTTACGTCCGATCTTCCGAAGTTCTGCAGAAAAGCGATAAGTGAAGACCTTAAAGAAAGACGAGCAGCAGTTATGGTAGAAGGTGCAGAAGCTAAGGAGAGCATTCGTAAAGCCCAGCGAGGCTTCGCCAATTACAAAACCAAGATGATTGCGACTCTGATGTCCTAACGGGACTCTTACAGCTTCCAGAAGAGCAATAAAAAAATCGTCCACCATTACTACTTGGAACTCTTCGCTAGTCTTGTCCTCTTACCGTCATACAAATTGAAAGAAGATGAATCAGTCTACACAGGACTAGACCAGAACATCCGAAGAACCTACGACCAGTTCTCATCAAAAACCTGGCTCGGCTCTTCACTCGCTATCTGTCAGAATGCAAGGTTCCCTTTCAACGAAAAACCAGTAAGACCGTATTGCTGATCAAGAAGGGAGACTTTCACGACATAGGCAACTATCGCCCAATCTGCCTGCTGTCCACTGTCTATAAACCCTTCACTCGAGTCACCTGAGCAGGGCTGACAGAACACTGGAAGAAGGACAGCCACGCGAACAAGCAGGGTTCCAGAAAGGATTCAGCACCATAGACCACATCCACACAATCACAAGACTTATTGAAGTTTCACTAGAGTGCAAACAACCACTTTGCCTCATTTTCATCAATCTGAAAAAAGCCCTTGATTCAGCGAGAACAGAAGCGGTTGTAAAGGCTCTGGATAACCAGGGTGTCCCTATTCGTACATAATGATCCTTCGTAAGCTGTATAAAGATTTCACCACCGAAATATCTCTTTTCTACAAGAATATCACCATCGACGTAAGAAGAGGGGTTCGACAAGGCGATACAATTTTGCCAAAATTATTCACTGCCACCCTCTAAATCGATTTGCGAACATTAGAATGGGACGATATGGGAGTGAAAATTGACGGTCGGCAATTAAATCATCTTCGCTTTGCTGACGATATTGCTCTCATAACACCAAGCATCAGCCAAGCGGAACGAATGTTGGCAGATTTCGATAGCGCCTGTGGAGAAATTGGTCTTCAACTAAATTTAACGAAAACTATGTTTATGAGTAACGGATGAATTTCAGTGCCCCATTCACGCTCAACGGAACGGAAATCTCGGAACGCTCCAGTTACGTCTGTCTACGTCGTAAGGTCAACATGAAGAACGACCTAGCTCTAGCTGTTGAGCAGGAGGAAACGAACGGCTTGGAGAACGTTTAAGAGCATCCAAGATATAGTGAGGAGGACAAAGAACATCCAACTCCGTGCCACCTTTTCGACTCGACGATTATCCCTGCCCTAACGTATGCAGCACAAACCTGAACTTTACGTAAGCAGGATGAAAGATCACTTGGCGTTGTTGAACGTGCAGTCGAAAAGTCGATGCTAGGAGTATCCCGTATCTCGCAAATGAGAGAAAGGATCCGAAATTCCGACCTACGCCATCGATTAAAGATTGGAGACGCTGTTCTACACTACAATCGAAAATAAGGTGGGCCGAACACGTGATGCGCTTCAACGACAGACGATGGAGGAGAGCCGTTATCGACTGGATTCCTCGGGACATCAAGCGCTCTACAGGAAGCCCATCGACCCGTTGGTCCGTTTCTTCACGAATGGTATAGAAGAAAAATATGTTGCTCAGCCAATCCTAGAACGAGAAGGACCCACTGAGCTACTCTTGCATGCGATAGGGAGATTGGAAGTGTTGCTGGTACCCGCTCGAGTCACTCAATGATCAAGGGGACGACAAGTGATAAGATGATGAGTTTAAAATGTGTAGCCTATGTTCCTTTTTCCTCACCAAATGAAGCTTAGTCGCTGAAAAAACTGCTCTGGTTATTCAGTGTAGAAAATTATTCGTTTTCGCAACTGAATCTACTTATTAAGAAATCAGTTTTTTAAATATCGAATTGTGTGCACTTATATGATGGCTCCGTCATATTAACTTACAAACACCTAGGCAACCAATAATAAAGTGAATCATTTTTCTGCTAAAGGAGGATTTTTTCCTACTTTCTTACTTTATCAAACATTGATTTCATAGTATGCTAAGCCAGCATTCATTTAATCTCGTCCCGAGCAATCAAAGAATCTTCCACAAGTTTGTTTATATAGCTTATATTCGGTCAACGTTTTCACGCCTTTATCTTCTTCGGAGACCATTAATTTCGCAGCCGTATAAAGTCGAATTTTTTTGACTGAAGTACCTCTCAAATGATGTGTCTTCACATGGCGATATCTTATGTACAGCGCGGTCCTTATATGATTCTGATTGTCCGATTAATACTCCTTTTTCATGTCGACAATTTGTCCTGTAATAGTCGTTGGCATTAGAAGACCTAGCACATAGGCGAACGTGGGCTGTCGATTGAGAGCAATCAGCGTTGGAAAAGACGA